ATCGTGAACTTTGTGAGTGAAACTGTTTAGATCGTAAGTCCCATCGTGAACTTTGTGAGTGAAACTGGTTAGATCGTGAGTCTCATCGTGAACTTTGTGAGTGAAACTGTTTAGATCGTGAGTCTCATCGTGAACTTTGTGAGTGAAACTGGTTAGATCGTAAGTCTCATCGTGAACTTTGTGAGTGAAACTGGTTAGATCGTGAGTCCCATTGTAGCCTTCGCAAGTGACACTGTTTAGATCGTAAGTCCCATCGTGAACTTTGTGAGTGAAACTGTTTAGATCGTGAGTCCCATCGTGAACTTCGCAAGTGAAACTGTTTAGATCGTGAGTCCCATCGTGAACTTTGTGAGTGAAACTGGTTAGATCGTAAGTCTCATCGTGAACTTTGTGAGTGAAACTGGTTAGATCGTGAGTCCCATCGTGAACTTTGTGAGTGAAACTGTTTAGATTGTGAGTCTCATCGTGAACTTTGTGAGTGAAACTGGTTAGATTGTGAGTCTCATCGTGAACTTTGTGAGTGAAACTGTTTAGATCGTGAGTCCCATTGTAGCCTTCGCAAGTGAAACTGGTTAGATTGTGAGTCTCATCGTGAACTTTGTGAGTGAAACTGGTTAGATCGTGAGTCCCATCGTGAACTTTGTGAGTGAAACTGGTTAGATCGTGAGTCTCATCGTGAACTTTGTGAGTGAAACTGTTTAGATCGTGAGTCCCATCGTGAACTTTGTGAGTGAAACTGGTTAGATCGTGAGTCCCATCGTGAACTTTGTGAGTGAACTGGTGTGATCAGAGTCCCATCGTGAACTTTGAGATTTAAACTGATTAGATCGTGAGTCCCATCGTGAACTTTGTGAGTGAAACTGGTTAGATCGTGAGTCTCATCGTGAACTTTGTGAGTGAAACTGGTTAGATCGTGAGTCTCATCGTGAACTTTGTGAGTGAAACTGGTTAGATCGTGAGTCCCATCGTGAACTTTGTGAGTAAACTGTTTAGATCGTGAGTCCCATCTTGAACTTTGTGAGTGAAACTGGTTGTATCGTAAGTCTCATCGTGAACTTTGTGAGTGAAACTGGTTAGATCGTGAGTCCCATCGTGAACTTTGTGAGTGAGACTGGTTAGATCATGAGTCCCATCGTGAACTTTGTGAGTGAACTGGTTAGATTGTGAGTCTCATCGTGAACTTTGTGAGTGAAACTGTTTAGATCGTGAGTCCCATTGTAGCCTTCGCAAGTGAAACTGGTTAGATCGTAAGTCTCATCGTGAACTTTGTGAGTGAAACTGTTTAGATCGTGAGTCCCATCGTGAACTTTGTGAGTGAAACTGTTTAGATCCTGAGTCCCATCGTGAACTTTGTGAGTGAAACTGGTGTGATCGTGAGACTCATCGTGAACTTTGTGAGTGAAACTGGTTAGATCGTGAGTCCCATCGTGAACTTTGTGAGTGAAACTGGTTAGATCGTGAGTCCCATCGTGAACTTTGTGAGTGAAACTGTTTAGATCGTGAGTCTCATCGTGAACTTTGTGAGTGAAACTGGTTAGATCGTGAGTCCCATCGTGAACTTTGTGAGTGAAACTGTTTAGATCGTAAGGCCCATCGTGAACTTTGTGAGTGAAACTGGTTAGATCGTGAGTCTCATCGTGAACTTTGAGATTGAAACTGTTTAGATCGTAAGTCTCATCGTGAACTTTGAGATTGAAACTGATTAGATCGTGAGTCCCATCGTGAACTTTGTGAGTAAACTGGTGTGATCAGAGTCCCATCGTGAACTTTGAGATTTAAACTGATTAGATCGTGAGTCCCATCGTGAACTTTGTGAGTGAAACTGGTTAGATCGTGAGTCTCATCGTGAACTTTGTGAGTGAAACTGTTTAGATCGTAAGTCCCATCGTGAACTTTGTGAGTGAAACTGGTTAGATCGTGAGTCTCATCGTGAACTTTGTGAGTGAAACTGTTTAGATCGTGAGTCTCATCGTGAACTTTGTGAGTGAAACTGGTTAGATCGTAAGTCTCATCGTGAACTTTGTGAGTGAAACTGGTTAGATCGTGAGTCCCATTGTAGCCTTCGCAAGTGACACTGTTTAGATCGTAAGTCCCATCGTGAACTTTGTGAGTGAAACTGTTTAGATCGTGAGTCCCATCGTGAACTTCGCAAGTGAAACTGTTTAGATCGTGAGTCCCATCGTGAACTTTGTGAGTGAAACTGTTTAGATCGTAAGTCTCATCGTGAACTTTGTGAGTGAAACTGTTTAGATCGTAAGTCTCATCTTGAACTTTGTGAGTGAAACTGTTTAGATCGTTCGTGAGTCTCATCGTGAACTTTGTGAGTGAACTGGTTAGATCGTGAGTCCCATCGTAAACTTTGTGAGTGAAACTGTTTAGATCGTGAGTCCCATCGTGAACTTTGCGAGTGAAACTGTTTAGATCGTAAGTCTCATCGTGAACTTTGTGAGTGAAACTGTTTAGATCGTGAGTCTCATCGTGAACTTTGTGAGTGAAACTGTTTAGATCGTGAGTCCCATCGTGAACTTTGTGAGTGAAACTGGTTAGATCGTGAGTCTCATCGTGAACTTTGTGAGTGAAACTGATTAGATCGTGAGTCTCATCGTGAACTTTGTGAGTGAAACTGGTTAGATCGTGAGTCCCATCGTGAACTTTGTGAGTGAAACTGTTTAGATCGTGAGTCCCAGCGTGAACTTTGTGAGTGAAACTGTTTAGATCGTGAGTCCCATCGTGAACTTTGTGAGTGAAACTGTTTAGATCGTGAGTCCCATCGTGAACTTTGTGAGTGAAACTGGTTAGATCGTGAGTCTCATCGTGAACTTTGAGATTGAAACTGTTTAGATCGTAAGTCTCATCGTGAACTTTGAGATTGAAACTGATTAGATCGTGAGTCCCATCGTGAACTTTGAGATTTAAACTGATTAGATCGTGAGTCCCATCGTGAACTTTGTGAGTGAAACTGGTTAGATCGTGAGTCTCATCGTGAACTTTGTGAGTGAAACTGTTTAGATCGTAAGTCCCATCGTGAACTTTGTGAGTGAAACTGGTTAGATCGTGAGTCCCATCGTGAACTTTGTGAGTGAAACTGGTTAGATCGTGAGTCTCATCGTGAACTTTGTGAGTGAAACTGTTTAGATCGTGAGTCCCATCGTGAACTTTGTGAGTGAAACTGGTGTGATCGTGAGTCTCATCGTGAACTTTGTGAGTGAAACTGTTTAGATCGTGAGTCTCATCGTGAACTTTGTGAGTGAAACTGGTTAGATCGTAAGTCTCATCGTGAACTTTGTGAGTGAAACTGGTTAGATCGTGAGTCCCATTGTAGCCTTCGCAAGTGACACTGTTTAGATCGTAAGTCCCATCGTGAACTTTGTGAGTGAAACTGTTTAGATCGTGAGTCCCATCGTGAACTTCGCAAGTGAAACTGTTTAGATCGTGAGTCCCATCGTGAACTTTGTGAGTGAAACTCTTTAGATCGTAAGTCTCATCGTGAACTTTGTGAGTGAAACTGTTTAGATCGTAAGTCTCATCTTGAACTTTGTGAGTGAAACTGTTTAGATCGTTCGTGAGTCTCATCGTGAACTTTGTGAGTGAACTGGTTAGATCGTGAGTCCCATCGTAAACTTTGTGAGTGAAACTGTTTAGATCGTGAGTCCCATCGTGAACTTTGCGAGTGAAACTGTTTAGATCGTAAGTCTCATCGTGAACTTTGTGAGTGAAACTGTTTAGATCGTGAGTCTCATCGTGAACTTTGTGAGTGAAACTGTTTAGATCGTGAGTCCCATCGTGAACTTTGCGAGTGAAACTGTTTAGATCGTAAGTCCCATCGTGAACTTTGTGAGTGAAACTGTTTAGATCGTGAGTCTCATTGTGAACTTTGTGAGTGAAACTGTTTAGATCGTGAGTCCCATCGTGAACTTTGTGAGTGAAACTGGTTAGATCGTGAGTCTCATCGTGAACTTTGTGAGTGAAACTGATTAGATCGTGAGTCTCATCGTGAACTTTGTGAGTGAAACTGGTTAGATCGTGAGTCCCATCGTGAACTTTGTGAGTGAAACTGTTTAGATCGTGAGTCCCATCGTGAACTTTGTGAGTGAAACTGTTTAGATCGTGAGTCTCATCGTGAACTTTGAGATTGAAACTGTTTAGATCGTAAGTCCCATCGTGAACTTTGTGAGTGAAACTGGTGTGATCGTGAGTCTCATCGTGAACTTTGTGAGTGAAACTGGTTAGATCGTGAGTCCCATCGTGAACTTTGAGATTGAAACTGTTTAGATCGTAAGTCCCATCGTGAACTTTGTGAGTGAAACTGGTTAGATCGTGAGTCCCATCGTGAACTTTGAGATTGAAACTGGTTAGATCGTGAGTCCCATCGTGAACTTTGTGAGTGAAACTGGTTAGATCGTAAGTCTCATCGTGAACCTCGTAAGTGAAACTGGTTAGATCGTGAGTCCCATCGTGAACTTTGTGAGTGAACCTGTTTAGATCGTAAGTCTCATCGTGAACTTTGTGAGTGAAACTGGTTAGATTGTGAGTCCCATCGTGAACTTTGCGAGTGAAACTGGTGTGATCGTGAGTCTCATCGTGAACTTTGTGAGTGAAACTGTTTAGATCGTGAGTCTCATCGTGAACCTCGTAAGTGAAACTGGTTAGATCGTGAGTCCCATCGTGAACTTTGTGAGTGAAACTGTTTAGATCGTGAGTCCCATCGTGAACTTTGTGAGTGAAACTGGTTAGATTGTGAGTCCCATCGTGAACTTTGCGAGTGAAACTGGTGTGATCGTGAGTCTCATCGTGAACTTTGAGATTGAAACTGTTTAGATCGTGAGTCCCATCGTGAACGCCGTCTCACGAGTGATCTCACCGCCACCTTGAGAGAGGACTTTCTAAGACAGATCACGAAACCCTCGCCGGATTCACGACGCCGCCACCGCCGCTTTTTGCCTCGATGGCGACTCCGTCGGTGACGGCGGCGCCTCTCCCCCCGCCACCGTCACCCGCAGGACGAGTCGCTGCAGCGCCTGCAGAAGGAGTCGGAGCTGCTGCAGAAGGCGTACGGTCACTACTTCGACCTGACGGTGGTCAACAACGAGATCGAGGAGACCATCCGCCAGGTGGAGGAGGCCATCGCCGCCGTCAGCGCCACGCCCCAGTGGGTTCCCGTCTCCTGGGTCTACTGAGAGCGGGGGTGGGGGTTTGGTGACCCCCACGTGACCCCCCCCCCCGGGGGGTGGTGGGGGGGTGGAGGGGGGGGGCCCGCCACCGCCGCCGCCGCCGCTTCCGTCACTCGCGAGCTTCTTCCACGGTGGAGCTGTTTTTGTTTTGTTGAGAATCGTTGAGTTCCCCCTCCCCCCTCAAGCCCCGCCCCCCCACGTCCCTCACCCCCAAAGTCTCCTCCCACATCCCCCGCCGGGTAACCCCCCCCACCCCCCCCCCCCCCCCGTACGCAAGCCCCCAGCACCCACGCACCACGTCACCCTCCCCCGTAGGTGTGAGTGTGCGTGTGTGTGTACGTGTGTGTACGTGTGTGTGTACGTGTGTGTGTGTGTACGTGTGTGTGTACGTGTGTGTGTACGTGTGTGTGTGTACGTGTGTGTGTACGTGTGTGTGTGTACGTGTGTGTGTACGTGTGTGTGTACGTGTGTGTGTGTACGTGTGTGTGTGTGTGTGTACGTGTGTGTACGTGTGTGTACGTGTGTGTACGTGTGTGTGTGTGTGTACGTGTGTGTGTGCGTACGTGTGTGTGTACGTGTGTGTGTACGTGTGTGTGTGTACGTGTGTGTACGTGCGTGTGTGTGTACGTGTGTGTGTGTACGTGTGTGTGTACGTGTGTGTGTACGTGTGTGTACGTGTGTGTGTACGTGTGTGTACGTGTGTGTGTGTACGTGTGTGTGTGTACGTGCGTGTGTGTACGTGTGTGTGCGTGTGTGTGTACGTATGTGTGTACGTGTGTGTGTGTGTGCGTGTGTGTACGTGTGTGTGTGTGTACGTGTGTGTGTGTACGTGTGTGTGTACGTGTGTGTGTACGTGTGTGTACGTGTGTGTGTACGTGTGTGTACGTGTGTGTGTGTACGTGTGTGTGTGTACGTGTGTGTGTGTACGTGTGTGTGCGTGTGTGTGTACGTATGTGTGTACGTGTGTGTGTGTGTGCGTGTGTGTACGTGTGTGTGTGTACGTGTGTGCGTGTGTGTACGTGTGTGCGTGTGTGTACGTGTGCGTGTGTGTGTGTACGTGTGTGTGTGTACGTGCGTGTGTGTACGTGTGTGTGTGCGTGTGTGTGTACGTGTGTGTGTGTGTGTACGTGTGTGTGTGTGTGTGCGTGCGTGCGTGTGCGTAACGGCGGTCGGGAGGTGAGAGGCGAAGGAGAGGTGACGGTGGACGGGCGGTGGCGTTGGGGGGCAGATTTCTGTGACATCACCTTTCGGGGGGGGGGGGGGGGGTTACGGTTCTCCGATGGCAACGTTTTTCCACTGCCGAACCGGAGCCGAGCCACCACCAGCAGGGCCAGCGCAGCGCCGCCACTGGTCCGGTTTTTTCCCACCGCTCCATTTTTCCAAACCGACCCGGAACCAAACCGTGCTACGCTGGCCTCACGAGATATCAGATGGAGCCTTTTCCACTGGCAAACCCGAGCTGAGCCAGAGCCAAACCGTGCAACGCTGGCCTCACGAGATATCAGATGGAGCCTTTTCCACTGGCAAACCCGAGCTGAGCCAGAACCAAATCGTGCTACGCTGGCCTCACGAGCCATACCGAGCCAGGCCCGCTCAGTATTGCCCTGGCACGGCTCGGCTTGAGTAGTGGAAAAAACAGCCTGGCTCCCTGAGCTGTGCAGAGCCAGGCTGGCTCGGTATGGCCCCGGGGTTGTTGATGCCGATTGCTGATGTTGTGGGTGGTTGTTGGTAGGGGTGGTTGTTGGTAGGGGTGGTTGTTGGTAGGGGTGGTGGTGGTGGTGGTGGGTTGTTAATACGGGTTCTCCTTGATTCGGGTTGTTGATATGGGGATGGTTGTGATTGTTGGTGGTGGTGGTGAGTGGTGGTGGTGGTGGGTGGTGGTGGTTGTTGATGGGGGTGGAATAATAAATAGTAAATTGCCCACGGATGGGATATACGCGGCTCGCGATTGGATGGATGATTCGAACGGTCGGCCAATCAGGCGGTGGAACTCAGCCCCCCCCACAACTCACAGCCCCCCCCACAACTCACAGCCCCCCCCACAACTCACAGCCCCCCCCACAACTCACAGCCCCCCCCACAACTCACAGCCCCCCCCACAACTCACAGCCCCCCCACAACTCACAGCCCCCCCCCCACAACCAACAGCCCCCCCCCACAACCAACAGCCCCCCCCCACAACTCACAGCCCCCCCCCACAACTCACAGCCCCCCCCACAACTCAGCCCCCCCCCACAACTCAGCCCCCCCCACAACTCAGCCCCCCCCCCACAACTCAGCCCCCCCCCACAACTCAGCCCCCCCCCACAACTCAGCCCCCCCCCACAACTCAGCCCCCCCCACAACTCAGCCCCCCCCACAACTCACAGCCCCCCCCCACAACTCAGCCCCCCCCCACAACTCAGCCCCCCCCCCACAACTCACAGCCCCCCCCCCCCACAACTCAGCCCCCCCCACAACTCAGCCCCCCCCCCACAACTCAGCCCCCCCCCACAATTCACAGCCCCCCCCACAACTCACAGCCCCCCACAACTCACAGCCCCCCCCACAACTCACAGCCCCCCAACACTCACAGCCCCCCCCCCCACAACTCACAGCCCCCCCCACAAATCACAGCCCCCCCACAACTCAGCCCCCTCCCCAACTCACAGCCCCCCCCACAACTCACAGCCCCCCCCCCACAACTCACAGCCCCCCCCCACAACTCACAGCCCCCCCCACAACTCACAGCCCCCCCCACAACTCACAGCCCCCCACAACTCACAGCCCCCCACAACTCACAGCCCCCCCCCACAACTCACAGCCCCCCCACAACTCACAGCCCCCCCCCACAACTCACAGCCCCCCCACAACTCACAGCCCCCCAACACTCACAGCCCCCCCCCACAACTCACAGCCCCCCAACACTTACAGCCCCCCCCACAACTCACAGCCCCCCCCCCACAACTCACAGCCCCCCCCACAACTCACAGCCCCCCCCCACAACTCACAGCCCCCCACAACTCACAGCCCCCCACAACTCACAGCCCCCCACAACTCACAGCCCCCCACAACTCACAGCCCCCCACTCACAGCCCCCCCCCACAACTCAGCCCCCCACAACTCACAGCCCCCCCCCCACTCACAGCCCCCCACTCACAGCCCCCCCCCCCCCCCCGTGAGGACCCCGACCTGAGGCTGCGGTGACGCCGCTTGGTGGCTCTGCACTCGGTGCGGCCTCGAGAGGCGTCAGCTGGTGGTAGTGGGTGGGTGGTTAGTGGGTGGGTGGGTAGTGGGTGGGTGGGTAGTGGGTGGGTAGCGGGTGGGTGGTTGATGTGGCTGGTGGGTGGCTGATTTGGTGGTGGGTGGTTGATGTGGCTGGTGGGTGGTTGATGTGGCTGGTGGGTGGTTGATGTGGCTGGTGGGTGGTTGATGTGGCTGGTGGGTGGTTGATGTGGTGGGTGGGTGGTTGATGTGGTGGGTGGGTGGTTGATGTGGTGGGTGGGTGGTTGATGTGGTGGGTGGTTGATGTGGTGGTTGATGTGGTGGGTGGGTGGTTGATGTGGCGGGTGGGTGGTTGGTGGTGGGTGGGTGGTTGATGTGGTGGGTGGTTGATGTGGTGGTTGATGTGGTGGGTGGGTGGTTGATGTGGCGGGTGGGTGGTTGGTGGTGGGTGGGTGGTTGATGTGGTGGTTGATGTGGTGGGTGGTTGATGTGGTGGTTGATGTGGTGGGTGGGTGGTTGATGTGGTTGGTGGTGGGTGGGTGGTTGATGTGGTGGTTCATGTAGTGGGTGGTTGATGTGTGGGTGGTTGATGTGGTGGTTGATGTGGCTGGTGGGTGGCTGATTTGGTGGTGGGTGGTTGATGTGGCTGGTGGGTGGTTGATGTGGCTGGTGGGTGGTTGATGTGGCTGGTGGGTGGTTGATGTGGCTGGTGGGTGGTTGATGTGGTGGGTGGGTGGTTGATGTGGTGGGTGGGTGGTTGATGTGGTGGGTGGGTGGTTGATGTGGTGGGTGGTTGATGTGGTGGTTGATGTGGTGGGTGGGTGGTTGATGTGGTGGGTGGGTGGTTGATGTGGTGGGTGGGTGGTTGATGTGGTTGAGTTGTAGCTCGTCTCCACACTAGCGCGCGCACAGAGAGGCTCACTGATTCCCAGTTGATGGCACAATTCCAGCTTGGCATGAAACGCGAATAAAGAGCGCGGGGCTGGAGGGGCCGAGGTGCCATGGACGAAGTGAAGATGGGGACGACGTTAATGTGGCGGTGGTGGTGGTGGTGGTCGCACGGTATTTAAAAGAGTTCATATTATTGACGAATGATAAATAATACGATTAATGAATTATAATAATGATGATGGAGATATTTTACTTTCAGTACCTTTTAAGCAAATGCATTTTAATGATAGTGTTGTTGACGACGAAGACGATGATGATGATGTTGGTGATGTTGTTGGTTTTGTTGGTTTTGTGTTCATTATCGCTGCCTTCACTCCCCGGCGGAATCCGCACAGATGGATCCGCAAGTTCCCACGCGCGCACACAGAAACGGAGTCTCCCACACGACACGCGCACACAGCACGGGGCAAGTGCTGTGCTAGTGAGCACGGGGCAAGTGCTGTGTTAGTGAGCACGGGGCAAGTGCTGTGCTAGTGAGCACGGGGCAAGTGCTGTGTTAGTGAGCACGGGGCAAGTGCTGTGCTAGTGAGCACGGGGCAAGTGCTGTGCTAGTGAGCACGGGGCAAGTGCTGTGCTAGTGAGCACGGGGCAAGTGCTGTGCTAGTGAGCACGGGGCAAGTGCTGTGCTACTGAGCGAGTTGCAAGCGGCGCCGCCTACCAAGGCTGCCTGCACTGTGGCACGCGAGGGGGTGGGTGGCCAGCAACACGCCCGGCCGCCTTTGTCTCAGTGACACACACACACAGTGACACACACAGTGACACACAGTGACACACACAGTGACACACACAGTGACACACAGTGACACACACACAGTGACACAGTGACACACACACAGTGACACAGTGACACACACACAGTGACACACAGTGACACACACACAGTGACACACACAGTGACACACAGTGACACACACACACAGTGACACACACACAGTGACACAGTGACACACAGTGACACACACACAGTGACACACACACAGTGACACACACAGTGACACACAGTGACACGCAGTGACACACACACAGTGACACACACAGTGACACACACAGTGACA